TACCATTGACCACACAGCGTGCAAGCTAGCTAACAGCACACAAACATTAACAATGGCTAATAGGAGCAGTTTTATGAGGTTAGGCAGAGCTTCTTTACCTGCACCACAAACGATGTCACGCCCACAAACATAGCCAGCAGCATCATGCGACGCAGCCTGCCCACATTGATCTGCTTGAGCAGAAAGAACCGAGCCCAGCCCAGTTTCTTGGCAGTGTGTGGGGGGTAGCGCATGCTGTTCACTCCTTCCATCTTCAGCTGTTTGATTAGGCAGCTGCGCATGTGGCTCAGCTGGTCGAAGCCGTAGCGACCGTGGTAGCATCCCATACCACTGTTACCTTAGAACGGAAGAAGAACGAGTCAGCTTCAAGATGAAAAACCAGTAAGTCTGATGGAGTTTGACAGGCATCCACTCACCAACTCCTCCAAAGGGCAGAGAGCTGACAGTAAAGTGAACCAGACAGTCATTAGCCAGCAGAGCTCCACTGGATGTCTCGGCTATCACTCTTTTGATCAGCTGTGGATCACACAGGAGGAGTGAAGAGATTTAAAGAGATCTAAATATCAGGAAACGACGTCTGCAGGTGAGGCGCCGTACCTTGTTCTCATTGGAGAAGACATAGATAACCAGCGGCTTCTCTCTCTCGTTAATAAACTGGATGGCCTCATCCACACCGCTCACTGTGATGATGGGCAGCAGTGGCCCGAAGATCTCCTCCTTCATCACTTTGGATTCACCTGTAACGTTCTTCAGCACAGTGGGAGCTGCACACAGACGACAGGGTCAGAGGGCAATGACCAACACACTGCACATACAGAGCTGTGGAACAGAGGCTTCAACCATCATGTGCACGACATCAGAGATACACAAAATACAAAGATGGTTCCACTTTACAACCAGTTGGCTTAAAACAACTCCTGACATTTTGAGGGATACCCGCTGGCTCCATCATACCACTTCAGGGCTTGCAAAATCGCTAGCCTGATGTCCCGGGGCTAGCGATTTTGGCGAACTGTGTATAGAGAGCGACAGCACTGATTGGTGAGTGATGATAATTTGCGCACCAATTCCTCTGACATCGTCTTATCAATCGTTAGCTTA